CACCTGTTGCCCCTGAGACAGCACAACTAACCCCTCTTCTTCCTCCTCCTCAGCCCACTCAACGTGAAGATGACAAGGATGAAGACTTTATGATGATCTTTGTTGTTGTTGTTTTGTGCCATCGAGTCAGACCCAACTTATAGCAACCCTTCTTTGGGTTTCCGAGGCAGTATCACTATGGAAGTAGATTGCCCCATCTTCCTTCCGAGGAGTGGCTGGTGGGTTTGAACTGCCAGCCTTCTGGTTAGCAGTCAAGTGCCTTAGCCACTATGCTACCAGAGCTCCTATGATGATCTAGTACCACTTTATGAATAGTATATAATAATCATGTTGCACAGTTAACAGAATTATCTGTTTTATATGGATGTGAGTCTCTTTATGTGAAAATCTAGTAACTGTATGGCAAGAACGGTGTTAATTGACTATTTATTTTATCAGTCAGGCTTCTGGTCAACAATGGGCTATTAGTAAAGTTTTGGGGGAGTCAAAGTTATACACAATTTTTGAATGCATGGAGGGTCAGTGCCCCTAACTGCTACCTTGTTCAAAGGCCAACTGTAATATAAAGTAAGGGAGTTGACAGCACTTAAAATATCATTCTTACTTGTGTAGTATATCTTATGATAATGCTTTGAAAGCCTCAAATTAACTCATGTTGATACTTAACTTTGTCATGAAAAGTCCTGACTCTCCATACTGTAAGGTCTCTGTGAAGCACCATTATTAGTCTTACAGCACCTAAAACCATAAAAACCAAACGCACAGCCGTCGAGTCAGATCCGATTCATAGCGACCCCTCCTTGGGTTTCCGAGGCAGTATCACTACAGAAGTATATTGCCCAACCTTCCTTCAGAGGAGTGGCTGGTGGGTTTGAACCACGAGCCTTCAGGTTAACAGTCAAATGCCTTAGGCACTATGCCATTAGAATTAGTCCCAATGCCTAGGAGAATGTTGGGGTTAAGTGTCACAGGTCTACCTTTGCTTGCTCAGGACTGGCTCCTGGAGCAGCCTGGTCTGGATAGACTACAAAAATCATTAGATTGGAATCTTATACGAGAAAAGTTCTCAATATTGAGTGGTAAGGAAGTTGGTTAAAAATGCAGATTACTGGCCCTATTCCAAGAGAATCTATTTCAAATGATCTGAAGTTGAGGCCACAAATCCGCATTTAAAAATCACACTTGGTGAGTCCTTTAAAATCGTTTACTTAAAAAACTTTACAGGAATTAATTATGGAGGAAAAAGAAGCAAGTCAAGAGACAGTTGTCTAAGGATGTTTTGCCCATGATTTCTGAATGGAAGCATCTCACTAGGCAACACAAAGTTCAAAGATCCCATTAAATAAATTCCAGTCCTGAGAATACAAAGGATGACTGATAACCATTTACAACCAACCGAAGTTAAAAGTCCTAGTTTGATCTTTTGTGGGAAAAATCAATCTTTGGACTTGCTATTATTATTTTGTAAAATCAATGATCTATTTTTCAGTCTTTTTATCAATGATATATTTCATTCCCTTATTATATGCTATTTTTTTTTCTATATGTACCATTTAGTGACATTAATTATATTCTTTGAGTTGTGTAACCATTCTCACACTCATTTCTGAGTTGTTCCTCCCCCCTAACAAAAATTCACTGCCCCCTAAATTTCCAATCTAATCTTTTGAGTTGCTGTTGTCAATTTGATCCTATAGAGATAGTTCTCAAAAGAGCATGATACTCAAGGCTGGCATTTTTTACTAGTTAAGCTAAACTTTTGTTTGGTTTTAAGAAGACTTCAGGGAATAATTTTGGTTTAAAGATTATCTCAGGACATTTGTTTCAGGGATTCATCCAATGTTCATGGCACCAGGAAGTCTGGAGTCTCTGAGAATTTGACGTTCTGTTCTGCATTTCCTCTCTTTTGATCAGGATTTTTCTGTGGAATCTTTGATCAAAATGTTCAGTAATGGTAGCCAGGCACCATCCAGTTCTTCTGGTCTCATGGCAAAGGAGGCAGTTGTTCATGGAGGCAATTAGCCACACTTTCCATATCCTCTTCCTATTCTTGACTCTCCTCCTTCCTCTGTTCCAGGCAAACAGAAGCCAATTGTTGTGCTTTGGATGGCTGCTTACAAGCTTTTAAGACCCCAGGCACTATACATCAAACTAGGACGTAGGACAGAGACACGAAACATGCTATTAGGCCAATTAACTGGGCTGTCCCATGAAACCATGACCCTAAACCTCCAAACGAAGAAACCAAATTCCATGAGGTATTTGGTTGTACATAATCAGCCTCAGCAGTTGCTATTTCTTTCTTTTTTTTTTTTTTTTGTCATTGTAAATATATCTATCACACAACTTTTGCCAATTCAACTTTTACAGGTGTACAGCTTACTGACAACAATTACAGTAACTTGTTTTGCAGTCCTGCCTTTAATCAGTGCATATTTCCATCAGCATTAATTCCCTGATTCTCCCTACCTAACACCCCTGGTAAACACTAATAAACTTTGTTCTGTATACATTTGCCTTTTCTTGTCTATTATATAAGTATATAATTTTATCCTTTTGAGATTGATTGCCTTCTCACTCAGCTTATGTCTTCCAACTCTACCCATATCGTAGGATGTATGAAGACATCATTTATCCTACTAGCAGAGTAGTAGTTCATAGTATGTATATACCACATTTTGTTCAGCTATTCATCTGTTGATGGGCATTTAGATTGTTTCCACTTTGGGCTGTTGTGAATAGTACTGCAATGGACGTTAGTGGACATGTCTCTTGAGTCTCTGCTTTCAAGTCTTTTGGATATATACCTAGGAGCAGATCATGTGGTAGTTCTATTTTTTTTTTTTTTTTAATTTTTATTTTGATTTGGGTGAAGATTTACAGAGTAAATTCACTTTTCATACAGCAGTTCACATA